CCACAGCCGTATGGGTTCAGGTCGCTCGCCGACCCCGGCAGGCACGTGTGGAGGGAGCCGGGGACCCCAAGTGCACGTTTACAGCACAACAACACCCTCAACACGATTGTGGTTTGCGCAGGTGGACGGGTGCACCCCACACGCGGGAGGTGTGCTCCAACTTCTCGCCTGAGTACACGCGCGCGCGCGAGGTGGGCAAGGACACGCACGTGGTCGTCAACGAGAAGACGCTGCAGGCGCCGTTCGAGACGGAGCTGCAGCTGCTGTCAGGGATTGCCGCCGTGTTTGCGGACACAGTGCGCAGAAAGACCGACGTGGCATTTCTCCGCACGTGCAGGGTTGCGGAAGCACGCTGCCGGGACGCGCCTCTTCACGTTCCTGATGGCGCTGCAGCCCATTTGTATGGTGGGACCTGTCGCTGGGGAGGGGCGACCTGAACCCGGAGGAGGGAGACGGTGGTGGAGGTGCAGCACGAGAGTTGGGCGCATCGCCGATTGGCGTGGGCCTGCAGCGACGACTTGCTGTTCCGCACGGTCATGGATGGACAACGAGTACAGGCTGGCGACCCAGCCCTCCGACAAAGCTGCTGGGCGTCGTGCACGCTGAACGGCCGAACCCGCCGCCTGCAGATACTGTTGCAGTCCAACGTGCTGACGGAGCCACTTTTCCACCGGCCGCACCTGGAGCTGCTGATGGGCAAGGCGGACGTATCCGCGTGGATGGGTTGGGGAACACGACCTGTTTGGTTGACGTGTGGTGTGGAAGGTTGTATGCTCGTTGCTTATCAGCCGGTTGGATTGCATGAAGAGTTGACTAAAGTGTGAAACAAGCAATGTCAAACAAGTAAAAGCAAGGGGAAAGCATGTATGTGAAGGAAAGAACGACAACACACGCAAACCCTCACTTCTGACACACGCTCTTCACGCAGGAGTAGATGCAGAGGAAAGGCAAAGCAGCAACAAGACATGGACAACAAAGCACAAGCACAGCCCAGTCCTGGCTGGTCATGTTGTCGTCACCGCCGCTTCCTTCTTGCTGCTTCTGCTCGTTCTCTTCCTCGCCCAGGGCGCCGCCAGTGCGTGCACCGCCGTCAACGGGCTCGTCGTTGCCGCGAATGCGCCGCAGTTCGCGCTCCGCGTCGCGCGTGTCTGGGTGGTCTGGGCCGACCGTGCTTGTGTAACCGTCGAGGGCCCGCTGCATGTAGGCGCAGGCCTGCTCCTTGTCACCGCGCTTGTCGTGCAGCAGGCCAATGTTGAAGTACGACATGGCCGTGCTCGGGTGCTTCTCGCCAAGAGTCTCCACGAAGGCAGCGAGGGCCTTCTCGTAAAACGCAATCGCCTTGTCGTACTCGCCCTTGTTGTTGTAGGCGCTGCCGAGGTTGTTGTACGTCATTGCCGTGCTCGGGTGCTTCTCGCCCAACGTCTCCACGTAGATGGCGAGCGCCTTCTCATAAAACGCAATCGCCCTGTCGTAGTCGCCCTTGCTGTAGTAGGCGCTGCCGAGGTTGTTGAAGGTGCTCGCTGTGCTTGGGTGCTTCTCGCCCAGCGTCTCCCCCTTGATGGCGAGCGCCTTCTCGTACTGCTCAATCGCTCTGTCGAAGTCGCCCTTGTTCCTGTAGGCGATGCCGAGGTTGTTGTAGGTGTTGGCTGTTCTTGGGTGCTTCTCCCCAAGCGCCTCAACCGTGATGGCGAGGGCCTTCTCGTACAGCTGGATGGCTCTGTCGTACTCGCCCTTGTCGGCGTACGCGTTGCCGAGGTTGTTGTACGACACCGCCACGTTCCTCCCCTTCTCCCCCTCAGTGCGGAGGTAAATCGGCAGCGCTGTCTCGTAGTAGGCAACGGCGCGATCGTGCTCGCCAAAGTCGTTCAGCACCGACCCAACGTTGAGGCACAGCCCCGCGAAGGCGGCAGTGCTGTCCTCGCCTCGAGCTCGCATGGCTTCGACGGCGCCCACCGCCTTTTGCAAGCACCACGCGCGCAGCTGGTCCTTCACGGCCTGGTTGACTGCGCCGAAGCCACCCGCCCACGACTCGATCGCCGTGAAGATCATGTGTTTGTCGTGCGGGTTGAAGGCGTCGGCTCGCTCTGCCTGCACGCGCACCAGCGTGTCTGTCACGGCTTTGTAGCTGTCGCGAATGGCGTTCTCGAGTGCCTGTTCTTCGCTGTTGGGTAGTTGGATGGTGACCTCTGTGCCCTCGTTGCTGATGCCGCAGAAGATCTCCCACAAACACCACGCGCGCGTCAGTGGCACGGGGTCTCGCCACGGCATGAGCACCAGCAGCACATGGCCAATGTTGGCAATCGACTGCTTGAACGTCGTGCTCCACCTGGGTGTTGAGAAAGGGAAAGGGGGAGAGGAAAGGATCGAGGGAAGAGGAAGACAGGGAGGAAAGGGGAAGGGGTTGCAGTTTCGTGAGGGAACAGTGTGCGTGTGTCTGTGTGCGTGGTGGCAATGGTTGCTGAAGAGCGCAAGTATCACACACACACACACACACACACACACACACACACACACACACACACACACACACACACACACACACACACACACACACACACACACACACACACACAAAACGCACCACTCTGGTGGAAGGTTGGCCGTGACGTTGGCGTTTTGGTTGTTCATGAAGAGGTCAAACCAGAAAAACACTGGCTGGGCGTCGCCCTTCCTTGCTTGCTCCTCTGCAAACTCCAGCAAGACGTTGAGCACGTCTGCGATCTTGTACCGCCATGCGTGCGACACAAACACGGTGGCCTTGTTCACGTGTTCTGGCGACTGCTTGCGCAGGTGCTCGACGTAGGCGCAGTTGTCCTGGCGGGTGCGTGGCACAACCAGTTGCTTGCAAGCATCCTCCGTCGTCATCTCAGTGTACGTGTCGGGGAACTCGCGCTTCAGGTCATCCAGGAACCGCCGCACAGCTGCCACGGACACGCCGTGCGTCAGTCGCTGGTCAGCCATGGCTGTGTGTGTGGAGCCTGAGGAGCGGCGTAGGGTTGTGGGGTTTGGTTGGAGGTCAATCGCTCAGTGGGCAATCCGTGTGGCGCGGACGGTGGGCTTGGTGGCTTCTTGGTGCCGCGGGC